TATTGAACCATTAAGAAAAATAAAATTGTATTGATCTATCCAAATAGTTATATTCAAATATCAAAAACTTTTTAGATGCAGAAGAGAATGATGATCAATTATTAGTTTATCAAACGGCGAAACTGTATAAACGAATAATCCGAGATCATAATAATTTGAACTCTTCAAAGAGAATATTAAATGAGTATTCAGTGAGTTGCTTTAAAAATTCTACAAATTCCTTTTATGTCTAAAGTACACTGTTTAATACTTCATCAACTTTCACTACATCTAGTTTACTAAAGGAGTTATAATATATGAATACTACCGTTAAGAAAATGATAACAAAGCTAACTGATATTAAAGATTAAATTAACTTAAATGATGTTTTCTTGAATGAAAAACTGTATTAGAGCAAAGTAATTGTTTTGGACTCTTTATTAGCGGCGTAGCTTTTAATAGAGGATGTATTTCTTAAGATTCCAATGGCCACCATTAATTCTAATATAGATAAAGAAGAGATTATTAATGTAGCAGAGGGATTAATAAGTCTTATTGATGAAATTACAAAGCATGTTAACGTTCAGGCAAAAGTAAATGGTTCTCCATTAATTAATGATGGGTAAATCATAAAATGGTAATTGTCAAAAATTACGAAAGGAAAGTTTAATACGCAATTTAACATTGAAAGAGATTAATTAGATGGTTTGATTGACTATGTTCAAAAAGAACAAATAGAATTAAAATACAATTACTTAAATCTATCTCAACAATTATAAACCTAATTGCAAACATTCTTTAATTTAACCACCCTATAAATAAATGAAAATTCATATAAGAAAATTTATCTATAGAATCATCTTTATAATAATCATTCTCAATATTATTAGGATCCCCTTACAACATACATAATCGATATGATTTAAATTCCATACTGTTTAGAATAGGCTCCTTTAGAAAAACCATATTCATATGATTGTGTTAATATCAATATGAAGGGATAATTATTTAAATGTGATTTAATAACTGAAGAAATTGATAATACAACTGTGTAAGTATCATGTAGATGTCAAAAACTAGGAAGTATCTTTCTAATTCAATATCCCAACAACTCAGCTATATAATAAAATGGCACCTATAATTCTTAGGAAAATAGAATTAATTCAAATATAAAATTAGATGAATAACCAATTTTATTATTTCATGGCATTTTCATAGTTTTTTCTTTCCTCATTTATTATGAATTACTTTAAATCGAAATGAGATCTAAATAATAGCAAGTAGAATCCAGATTAGAAACAGAAAATAGTGTAGATGAAGCTTTGAAATAAGGAAAAATTCAATAAATCATCTTTTATCCAGGAAATTTTGTTTTATTCAAAAAATACTTCAAAGTAAATAACATTATAAATATCTAGTTTATTCATGAAGTATTATCATGCTTTTATAAGGGAGATCCTATCCTTCCCAAAAGTTATCGATTTTTGTAGCTATCAATTAAAATAAGTATTTTCATTTTATTTACATTTTTGTAAATAAATTTGATAGGTGTATATCAACTTTTCACAATATTATTTGCCAATTGTGGAATTTACTTACTTATTCGAATGATTTTAAAGATCTTTCAGTCAGTTTATAGATTTGGTGGGAAATGTAGTAATTCTATAGTAATCTTTTATCTCTTAATACATTTATTATGCTATTTAGGGCTTGTTCTATAATTGAAGCAATGGTACATATGTATTTATCTTTTTAGTTAAATAGACATTTAAATAATCAATATTGAAGTTTCACTTATTATAATAGGCTCACTCTTTTAATTTTATGTTATTATGGAACCAATTATGATATTCTCAAGAATATTTCTTTTTAGACATATCGCCATTTAAAGTAGACATTAAACAATTACTCCTTTAAATTAACTATTCTACTTTTTTGTTTAACATAACACATTAGATGAACATCTTAATAATTATTGAAATATTATAATCACATTATACATTATATAAAATTATGAGTTCTGAAACTTTCTTATTAGACCTATCTTCAGTTTCTTCACAAATGCTATCTATCTAAACCTTCAGACATATACTGCTTACAGAGAACCATTATTATTTTCGTGATGCAATAGTTTTGCCTCCGTTTGCAAAGAATGCATTTCTCATTTCGTTCAGGATGTTTAGCCTATGATTTTATATATGCAACTACATGTTATACTAATTATCAAAATAATGCACCTTACAGGATAAAACTAGACATTAATAAGCAAAGAATTTGTATTACTATGCTAAAAATGGATTAATGTTTATTCCTGCTCGGGTTGTTCTATGGGAACTTTTAATATCAATCTTTATAAAATTTGCTCTATATGTTACACAAAGATGGATACCTTATGAATGGATGTACAATTTTTATCAATAAATGTATTATTGAGTAATTTAAGATTTAGTTAATGGTAATGCTATTAATAATCTCCTTATAGAACTTAAATGAAAATATTAAATAGTGGATCACTTCTTTGTAATAAAGAATGCTCCATATATTATTCAACTATTTCTGTTCAGAGTTTCCTATAGAACCTATTTAGATATAAATTTTGAAGAAGTTATGCAGATCCATAGTCAGAATGTTTTATGTTAAAGTATTCGAGTAAACTCATATTGATTCTCAAGGTGAAACAAAATGATATGCCTTTTGTCCTGATCCAAGCATTTTTAAAATTAGCTAACTCAACATTTTATAATAATTGATTAAAATTAGCGGCTGATAACCATATTAATATTTCCTCAGCTTTTTCTCTCAATATTATTATTCTTCTACAAATAGTAATATAGTTTACATTGTGTCTTTCATTCAATATCCCCTTGACTTTCAATTCTTCTAAAAATTTAATTCAATTTTCAGATCCTGAATTTTAGGTTTATTTTCTTTTTTTACAATTATCATTTAAGATGCTTCTCTAATTTTTAGTAATTATTCTTGATTACCTTGCGATTTTTTTATCATAATTTTCTTCTTTAATAATTAGGATTTGCATTCTATCTAGTAGCCCTATAGATCTAATTCAAGAAATATCATACTA